ACTTGAACCAAAAAACATGAAAACAAACTGTATATCAAATTTAGAAAACAATACCTAGATAATTTATTTACTTTTAATAAAAAATGATTACCTGTGAAGTCAAGAAAAAAATCAGTGGATAAAAGAAAACAGAATTATTATGATAGTATAAATTAGTAGCTAAAAAGATTATTGGTTTAAGCACACATATATTAAAGCTGTGTATGTGGATTAGACTCGTTTAAGACTGCCAGCACGATTAGCTACCTGAGTAAAAGCTGTCGTGACGGTCGACACTGTTAGTCGGAAGAGTCAAATGAGCTAACCATTCTGTTGTTCGACATTGAGTGTCGAGTTAGAATTGTTCCTGGCGGTGACGCCAATGCTCGTTCCCTTTTGGGAAAATTGTTGTTGTCAATCCAAACCTTTGTGATTTTGAGTCTTGGGGAGAAACCTTTTTCCCATTTGAGTACTTAGGAATTGTGAAACCCAGAAATTGAATTTCTACAATTGCACTTCGAACCGAGTGCCGAACCTGACTGGGTGTAACCACGCGAAGTGGTGGCCGAGCCCGCACGCCCGTGCTGAGAGACGTGAGGCCAACTGCAGTGGCTGATCGTTGACTCGCACGAGAGCTACCGCCGCCATCACCGAACGCCAAACTCCCCAGGTTAGTGTGTACGGCCAAACCTTAACCTTGTAGCTGGTATCCGAGTGGGTACGTGCACGCGTCCCAACGCCCCGCATATGCAGCGCCAGCGTGTGTGTCACCTCTCGGGTGACAGTGCATTAAACTCGGTCCGACCTTGTCCTTTTAGAGGTCTTTGAATCAGATTTTTTTGGTCAATGTGTAGGTTGGTCTTTCGAGTCGTTGTGTGAATTCCCTAATCAACGACCCTCGATGTGTGAGGTTGGTCGATTAGTTTCCTTTGCCACATGCGAGATTTTCTCGACAGGGCGAGATAGTAGTTCCGTATTAATGTGGGGCGGAACCTTGAGTCTCGGCTGGAGACCGACTCAGTGGAATGAAATGGTTATTGAGTATCTAGCCTTTACTTCCTAAACTGCATACGAGATATTGTTCGTGTCGGCGAGGAGAGAGGCATTGTCAGTGGTATCAAACGGAATCGTGTGTTCTGAATGTACCATATTTGAGTATAAGTGATGATAGTCTGTCCTATCATGATTTTTCGACCAAGTCAATAGCTTAGTCTGATGGTTGACTCCACCACCGGGACTTTCGAGGATGCATGACACGTTCTAGCCTCGTGATGAAGGGAATGTGTGCGTGAATTCGAGGTACGTGTGTATTGTGACGAGCTGCGTGATAGGCAGGACCCTACCTGTATGGAGGTATCGGTGACCTGTTGGAACCAAGGGTCCATCAGGGAATGACCGGGAGAGATACTCGTCAAAGTCCAGTGGGTGTAGTCAAGTCGAGGGTGAGACAACTTGGCAGGGCGAGGCCGAGATTCAGAGAGAGTATCTGAACCTCACCTTTTGATGTCCCCTTTTGTTACTTCCTTGTCTTCCTAGTTGTATTGTTTTCGAATTCCGAGGGCGGAATTCTTTGTAAGGTGGGTAGACTGTAATGCTCCATTTATTTATGGATATTTTTGGGATTATTAATTATTATTATTACTATATTATTATTATTATTATTATTATTATTATTATTATTATTATTATTGTTTTATTACTATTATTGTTCTCGTTAATTGTCTAAATGCCTAAATGTGTCTTAATGTTGTTTATAATAAATAATTATATGTGTATATTAAATAAATATTACCCGGTTGTTATTTTATTTTATCGCGCAATTTAATCGAGCCCGAAAGACCAAGCCCGACAAACTCGCGTGCCTAAACCCTACCCGGCCCTTGGGTTTCTTGATGGGCAAGAATTTGAAAACCTAATTTTAATTATTGTGAACCCTCTTTTCTCTTCTCGTACATCACCCGCAGCCATCATCTCTCTCCCTCTGCGCGACCAACATCAGAAAAGAGTATATTTTTCAATCTATCGCCCTCTCGAAAAAAAAATAAATAAATAAAGACCGATCGTTGCTTCCATTCTCTGTTGCTCTCTATCCCTCTCGAACTCCGTCGTGTTTATCACCACCGCGACCTCCTCCACCTGCTAGCAGACGCGCGACCGAGGAGTTTCTGTTAGCAATCGAACAACCTCCAAGAACCGCCTGGTGCGAGCAGCAGTCCCCAATTTCCGGCGAGAACCAGGCCCGACGATCTCTTCTGTCCGCGAGACCTCCCCTGCAGCAACCCTGCTCGCGAAGTCCTCTTCCAGCGACACTAGCAGCGACCCCAGCGACCTCCGACGAGCCTTCCTCCACCGTGTGCCTGCTGTTCGCTCGCATTTCGGTCCTCAGGCCACCGCGACTGCTTCATCGTGATCAGTTGCTCCCACCGTGAGTAGCCTCCAGCGGCTAAGCTCTCGTGACCAACATCTAACTACCAGCCCACGGCCGCCGTCTAGCACCCCGACGAGCCGCACAGATCACCGTCGAGACCTCGTTCTCCGCCTCTGTCCGTGACCAAGTTCTGTCGTTGCTCTCTTCACGATCACACGTGCCATCTCAGGCCCCGTTCAATGGCCGTTGTTGTTGCTCGGTCCCCGTTCGCGAGTTGCTGCATCCATTGCTAGTTACCTGTTCGCGAGAACCAGCCGCTGCTGCACCTTCTTTCCCAGCGAGACGCGAAAATCCATCGAGCCCGACAACCCCGTTCGTGTCCTACGTCCCGTTTCTCCGAGTTTTTCCCGAGAACGGTACCTAGGCTTGAACCCCGTCTCATTTTGATTTCGTGTATTGTGATATTCTGTTATATTATGTGCTGAACGTGTGAATTACGAGTTAATTTCGTGCCTTGGTGCTGAAATAAAGAGAGAAGACATGGAGAAAGAGATCTCTTTTCTGTTATTTTCATCTGCCCGTAAAAACCAAGTCTATAGGGTACATATAGAGAGGTCGGCTTAGCCCCGAGAATACCAACCTCTGATAAAATGTCAAGAGCATACTTCCTTTGGCATTTGAAAATGCCAGAGGAATTGCGAGCAACTTCCAAACCCAGAAAATATTTCAAAAAACCAAGATCCTTCATATGAAAGCAACGACTTAAATAAGCCTTGAAGGAAGAAATGGCGCCACCGTTATTGCCGGAGATGATCAAATCATCGACGTACACGAGAACGTGCAGCCGAACACCATCACGACATAAGGTAAAAAGAGAATAGTCGGCATAAGATTGGCGAAAGCCATATTTTCGAAGCGCGGTAGTGAGTCTCGCAAACCAGCATCGGGGAGCCTGCTTAAGACCATATAAAGATCGTTTCAAACGACAAACAAGGTCAGATGACTTAGACCGAAAACCAGGAGGCAATTTCATATAGACCTCTTCATCAAGATCACCATGTAGGAATGCATTGTGAACATCCATCTGATGCAATTCCCATTGTCGGGCAGCAGCAACAGCAAGGAAAGTTCGGACAGTCACCATTTTTGCGACCGTAGCAAAGGTCTCAGTATAGTCAACACCCTCGACTTGATTGTTCCCAAGGATAACCAAACGAGCTTTATAACGTTCAATAGACCCATCAGATCGGTGTTTAATACGATACACCCATTTGCAGCCAATAGCCTTTTTACCAGGAGGAAGAGGAACAAGAGTCCAAGTATGGTTATTTTCAAGGGCTTGAATTTCAGACTGCATGGCAGAGCGCCAGTTAGAATCACCCATGGCCTCGGTAAAAGTCCGTGGCTCAACAGAGGTCTCAATCGCTGCCAAGAAAGTCTTATGGGCAGAAGAGAAATTAGTACTGTCAACAAAATGAGTTAAGGGATAAGGAGTACCTGAGGACGATGAACTGGTTGAGGAGTGAACGGGGGGGGTAATGGTACTGGTAACATGATCTCGCAGACTGACTGAGGGAAACTTCGTCCGATGACCACGGCCTAAGAGCTCAGTATCAGAACCCCCTCGGACCTCAGTAGCCCCAGAGGGAGAAATAGCCGGCACAGAATCAGAAATAGGTGAAGACTCATTATCACTAGCAGGCCATGGTGAAGAAGAAACAAGTGGCACAGAATCAGACCGAGAAGCAGGTGTCGTAGAAAAAGGAAATTGGTCTTCCAAAAATTTAACATCTCGAGAAACAAGAAACTCCCGAGTGTCAAGATCAAAAACTGACCAGCCCTTCTTCCCAAAAGGATAGCCCACAAAAATACACTTTCTACTACGACTAGCAAATTTATCCCCCGAACGATCCAGATTGTGAACATAGCACAAGCAGCCAAAAACACGAAGGTGCGAAATAGGGGGCGCTTTTCCAAAAAGGACCTCATAGGGACTTTTCCCATATAATACTGCAGTGGGAGTACGGTTGATTAAATATCCTGCTGTCAAGACACAATGTCCCCAAAAATCTATGGGCAGATTAGCCTGAAAACGTAGAGCACGCGCCACATTGAGAATATGACGATGCTTGCGTTCCACTCGACCATTCTGCTGAGGAGTAGCTACACAAGATGTCTCATGTAAAATACCGTTACGTCGAAAATATGAAGTGAGACACATAAATTCAGTCCCATTATCGCTTCTGACAACTTTGACCAATTTATTAAATTGTCTTTTCACCATGGAAAAAAAATCAGTCAAGGTAGACGAAACACAACTTTTGTCATCCATCAGATAAAGCCACACAGCGCGAGAGAAATCATCAACAATTGTCAAAAAATATCTAGCTCCAGAAAAAGAGGGAACCCTATAAGGACCCCATAAATCACAATGAATTAAAGCAAAAGGTTCCAAACTGGTACTGTCACTCAAATGAAATGAATCTCTAGTATGCTTTGCACGATGACAGACATCACAAGCTTTATTGTCAAAACTACTAACATGAGCAGGGGCTAAATTACAAAGTTTCCCAATAACCTGCGGGCTGGATATCCCAAACGTTGATGCCACAAATCTACAGATCCGCCAACAGATACCGTAGCCGTTACCGGCTGCATAGGATCACGGAAAAAGTATAGCCCCCCCTTTTGTTCACCCAGACCAATCACCGTCCTCGTAGTACGGTCCTGTATCAGACAATCAACATTAGTGAAGTGGGCTGTACACCCATGATCATCCAATAAGTGATATAATGAAATGAGACTGCATTTAAGACGAGGGACAAATAGAACATTAAGCAAGACCAAATTGTGACTAAGACGAACTTTGCCGGCTTTAGTCGCAATAATTAATTTGCCCATCAGGAAGCTGCACTGGTCAAGGTGAAATATCACAAATATCAACGAGGTATTGAAAAAATCCAGTCATGTGATGTGTAGCGCCACAATCATACATCCAATTACGGGAATAATCCTTACCAGTTAAATTGGTAGAAGAGGAAGTCTCAGATTTATTTGGGCGTACGATATTTACCAATGCTTGCCATTGTTCCGGGCTCAAACCTGTACCAGCTGGGACATGATTAGCATTATAAGTGCCAAATTGAAGAGAAGGACCAATATTACTACCAATATTACTAGGCCCATCAAGACCCGACCCAACAGAATTGGCCCTAACAAGAGCTGTAGCGTGCGATTTGGCAGAATTTGAGGGAAGTAATCCTCGGTCAGTCCCAGAAGAAGAAGAAGATGCGCCGCTCGTTCGCCCTTGCCCCGCCGGAGAAGAAGACTTGCCTGTCCAGCCCGCCGGATATCCGACGACCTCGAAACAGCAACGAGGGTCATGGCCCGTACGATGACAGTGAGGGCAGGGTTTGACCCGGAAACAATTTGGGGCTTCATGTCCAGATCGGCAGCAGAGAAGGCACTGTCGAGCAGAAGAAGAAGAACGCGGAGGACGGGAAGACGATTGACGGGTTGCAGAGGTGGCGAAGCTCATGGCGTCGGCGGTCGGAGCAGAAGGGGAGGAGAGTCGTTCCTCCTGTGAGATGACCGAATAAACCCGATCCAAAGAGGGTAACGGATCTTGGGCCAAAAGACCAGAGCGGGCCGACCCATACACTTCTTTATCCAAACCGAGTAAGAATTGATGAGTTTCTTATGCATCTCTCCGAGCTTCAAATTCACGAGCATGGCCGCAGGTACACGCAATCGGTGGTTGATATGAATTTAATTCGTCAAATAGCATGCGTAGCTTGCCATAATATGCACTGACAGTCATACCTTTTTGTACTGTAGAGGCTAATTCACCTTTCAATTGCTGAATTCGAGTGCCGTTAACAACGGAGAAACGGCGACGGAGATGATCCCACAGGTCTTTGGCGAGTTCAATTTGAGGAATGGAAGGGCGGAGTGCCGGATCGATCGTATTCTTTATCCATGAGACCAACATCGAGTTATTGACGAACCAATCTTCGAGGACCGGGGAGTTGTCGGCCGGTTTGGAAATAGAGCCATCGAGAAAGCCGAATTTTTTGCGTGCCCGGAGAGCGGTCCGGAGCAATGAGGACCATTCGATATAATTTTGTCCCGTGAGAAGAACCGTAGAAATCAAGCAACCGGGATTATCACTCGAGGTGATGTCGTATGGTGAGATTGTTTTATAATTTGGTTGAGATCCCGTGCTAGATGACATGATGAAAGCAAAGAATATGATGTTTTGTAAAAAAAATTAGGTATGATGTTCTTCACATCTCTGATACCATGCTGAAATAAAGAGAGAAGACATGGAGAAAGAGATCTCTTTTCTGTTATTTTCATCTGCCCGTAAAAACCAAGTCTATAGGGTACATATAGAGATTACAAGAGATAAGGATAAAATCAAATCAAATATTTAGTTACTAAAGATAACTACATGAAATATTATCCCTAAATAAACCTAACTTATCCGTGACACTTGGATATGAGTTTGTATGAATTATGATAAATTATATGCATTTTGGATATCAAAGTGATTGCCGTCACTTTGGTCGTTATCGAACTGAGTTTCGAGTGGTATTTTTCGTGGAAATCCTGGAGTTATAGTTACTTGGAGTTGTCCTTGATTTATTAGTTTTGGTTTGAGGTCGTTTCGATGTGTATATCATGAGTTATGAATTTTTCTAAACCGAGCATGTTGCTGAATCGTAATTAATTCATGATAAATCGTGTGATTGTCCGAATGCCGTGAAATTTTATATGTGATGTCCCGTTATGTTTTTGTAAATCGTGTAAAATTTTCAAGTCGAAACTCCGTCTGTAGTTATTTTAATTTATTAAATCGGTTTCTGGTCAGAATTTTATAAAATTCATTAAAATTCGTACACTTGGAGTTTTGAGCTGACACTTTGAGGATTATATTATTATGTGTCATTCTGTGTTGTGTCAAAATTTTAGATTAAAATTCAAAGTGTAGCTATATGAACTGTTAACGTTGAATTTTGACACTATTTTTGCTTTAACTATTTGAAAATGCTCCCGGATGAATTTAGGGCTGAAACTTGATGAGGTTATGTGTTTTTGTATGCCTTGTGATGTGGTAAGGTTTCAGGTGGATTGGTTTAGTCTAACTCCATATTCTGAATTTGGTCTATTTTGGAGTCTTAATGCTCGGTTATCCGTTGTCTAGGTTCGGGTTGAATTTTATTGATGATGGCATGATTTATGTGTATTATTTGATGTATATGAGTTGTGTTCAGGTCTAGTAGTCACTCCAAAGTACTTAACTCGGTCAAGGAATCCACGAGTCACTTAGTCGATACAATTTCGGCTAAGTATATGTGCCTTGTGTGTTGTTTTGTATTGAATAGTCAGTTGATAGGCTATCATAATTGTTGTAGGTTCATCAAGCTGAACTTATGCCATTATTCCTTCAACCCTGTGTTTGGCTATATCTCGGTATCCAGGTGGGTTTTAATCTAAAATTTGCTATGCCGTATGTGTTTGCTTTAATGTTGAGTTGGTGTGATTTAAGTATGCATGTAAACCATGTAGCCTATCGGCGTGAGCCGATCCGGCCGTCTGTACGGTTGTCCCCGTCGATGTAATACGGTTACCTTGCGAGGTAAGTTTCCGTAAGACCTAATAATAGGCCGTGTCTTGTCGTATGGCACGTACCCCCATGAGTTAGGGTAATGAATCCCCTTTCCTTGGCTAATGAAAGATGTGTACACGTGGGTAATATGTTGTGATGTGATTAGGAGACGTGACAGAATAATTGATTTATGTCCATGCGGTAACCGTACCTCCTTTACATTATTTATTATATGTGATATACGTGCATAGTGGTGAGCACGCATTTTCATCTTGTGCTCATCCCCACCTGCTCTTCACGGATGCAGGTTAAGCAGGTGCAGGGTGACGAGGAGAGGCGAGTTGGTCGGTCATTTAATTATGCATATTTTGCTTTTGTTGGAATAAATAAGGCTTATTGGACCTTTTATGTTGAGACTTATTAAAACCTTTTTCCAAAACGTATGATTTGTTTAGATTTTGGGAAAACTTGTGGAACCCTTGTTGTTGGGTTATGATGTTTCGATTTGAATATTCATGTTGAGTATTATGTCTCGTGATATGCTTTGGTTAATGAAAACCTTGTGAAAACCGGGTAATGAATCCCCGTGGGCCTAGATAAGACTTGGGTTATGAAAAATATTGTTTAACACCCATTAAATTTCGAAAATGATCTCGAAAAATTTGTACTGATTTTTGGAATGTTCGGAATTTCTGTAAAATCAAAGTGGGGTGTTACAATATGAATTGCACATTATTGCATACCATATTACACAATATAGAATGAGTTTGAACGAACTTTTTTTTTTGTTCAATATATTCCGATTCATTTTTTTTCATTTATAAAAACACAAGATTTCGGTACGATGTACTTTTTCTATTTAAATAATAGAACTTACCGATAGTCTAATATATATCTTTATGCAAACTGCCATTTTAATATGTTAAACTTATAAAATTGCAAACAAGCCCTTGAAATGTATTCAATTATCAACAAGCAACCGCTCAAAATATAGTTTCACAGACTCTCCGCCTCATTTGCTATCTCACATACGCCCAGTTTCACAGAAAATGAACATTCTTAAAAATTACCTATAGGTTCTTATATCATCTAATTTACAAAAATAAATCCAGCCACCATATCAAACATAACATCATCTCCCCACCTTCTTTCAAATTGACCTTTCAACCTCGCACGGCCGCACACCACCACCGTCGCCGCCACATTCACCACTAAACACACCATTGAAGTTCACTCAAACACACATGAAGGACACGAAAAAAAAGGCAGATAGCATCAGTGGCGCCAGATATGCACCTGTTCGGCGGTCTGGTGGTGGTGCTCGGCTCCGTCGCCTTCACGCTCGTGAACATGGTATGCTTTTACTGTAAGTTCTCCGGTCACTTCGAGAACATGGAAGGTGGAGGCGACGTGGCGCGAGATTCAACTCTGGGAGAAGGCTGCTGCGCCTACGGCGGCGACGCTGGAGATGGAGGATACGTTGGTGTTGAGAAGTTGGATAAACTGGCCATGCCGATGTCTAGTAGGGTGCTTGACTTTCTGGGCTGACGACGGAGAAGATATGTAACTGGGATGCTCCTGTGGCGGCAACGGGGGGCTGAGGTCGCGGCTGCGAGATGGCAGCAGCAACGACGGAGGCTGTTATGGCGGTAGAACTCCGGCATGGCAGAAAGGACATCGACATGAAGGACGACAACGACCATGGCTGCGGCGGGTGGATGGTGTGGCGGACGGTCGTGTGCGAAACTCTATGAAAGTGTGTGTAGGTGTGGGTGGGAGAGAGAGAGAGAGAGAGAGAGAGA